CGGCCTCCAGCTCTGCCCCAGCCTCCTCCCAGGACTGCCTTGGCACTGGGCTTGGGCAAGGGAGGAGAACAGCACAGGGTTTGGGAGCAAGAGGATCAGCTGGGTCTTGGACAGTCACAGGAGGACCCTGGTGTCATTTGATTATTTAACACGTGGAAAAGGAGGGGGGTGAAGGCCCGGGCAAACACAGGGTAACACTAGAGGGTTCTTGGGCGATGGGAAGAGGCATTTGCTCAGCGGGGCCATGCAGTGTCCATTCCTAACATACAGGTTAGGTGCAAACTTTATGCTGCTCAGCTTGTCCCTCTACAAGAGGGGTGCCCTGCATAGTTTATAATTTTGAGCATGTGCACAGGTTGCTGTTGTCATCCCCCAAGGCATGCACAGAACCTGCTCTCTACACATTACGGCAGCACAAGCAGAATGTGACGTAGTTTCAACCGCAGCTGCCGTCCCACCAGTGCTTACTCTGGTGAGAAGGAACCAATTTGCTTTAAACGACTGACAACCTTTGTGGCTCAAAACGTTTTTTTAAGGTTTGAGGATATTGTTACAAAACTTAAAGTAAGGGCCCTCCCGGGTGGCACAGCGGGTTCAAGCACAGCACTGTGAAGCTGCCCACAGCCATTCTCGGCCAGGGGGTGACCCACATGGAGCACAGACCTCTTCTGTCTTGCTCGCTACTCCCCTCAGCACTGTATTTCAGTAGACCTGCCAGTTCTGCTCCCCACTCTGTCTTCAATGAATCCCCTCCTCCCCCAGACCTCCATTTCTGATCCTCACCCCAGCTCTTTTATACATAGTTTTTTTTTTCTTTAAATATTTAAATAATTAACTGCAAGCATGTATGTCATCGTTTCTCAAAGGTTTGTTCTTCATATACCTGGAGAATGGTTTCTTGAAAAGGCTGTCTTCTAACTGGAGAATCTTCTACTTTGAACATCTCTCAGGGCAACGCCGTGGTCTTGCTGGGCTCAGCAGCAGAGGTACATCGGTGGGACAGGCGTTAGCAGCACCAAGTAAAAGGTTTCCAGATCCGCCGGCTTCATGCTGGGTCTAACTGCTAGACCACCCGGGTTTGGGGACTGGATCCTAGGGTGCTTTTAGACTTGGTGACTCCTCTTTCGCTGCTTTCTTCTTTCCTCCTGAGGGAGAGTCTTGACAGGATGAGCAGAGCCCTTTGGTGCTACTAGAGGCTCATGTGTTTCTCATTGTAGAAATAAAACAAAGTCCTGAAAAGGAATTCTTTTGCGCCAATGACCATTTGGTTTCCCAGGGGTGTTGGGGACACAGCGTGCTCCAAGCTGCCCAGCCGTCCATCTGTTCGCGCCTCTTAGCACTCTCTCAGCAGTGATTCCATTTCTCCTTGGCTGATACCCAGCGTGCTTCCCAGTAATGTGACACTTGCTGCCAATCACCTTTCTTTGTCTGACAGGAATCCCAAAAGAGCTTTCTCCTTAGGCGCTTGTCTCTACTCCATGCGGACCTGGTGACTAAATCCATCCTGTGCATGGTCCAGTTTTTCTGGAGGAGTTCCTTTGGTTTTCCCCTCCTCTGTCTTTTCACCACCACAGCACCATTCCCTGGTCCAGATGGTCCTGTGATGCTGCTGCTTTTCCTTGTAGATGTATTGTCCTTTGCTTTGATTCAGCTAGGCCCACCCTCAGGTCTGCTGGGGCCTGCGTGCTCTGATTTTCCTTTTCCTGCCAGAAACTGAGCAGTTTCATCTTTCTGCTTGCTAATGACTTCCAGTTGAAAGTTCCTGCCGCATCCTGGCCTGCTGGCTTGCCTTTTCCTCCAGTTCCATGATCTTCATTCTCAGGTTAACACCTCTGTCATCTGCATCTCGAAATTTACCCAGGAGAGAATCTGCAGTTCCACTACCCAGATCTGAGCCCTTTCTAGCTCCTGGTTTGGGTAGGATTGTTTGCTATCCAGAAAGTAGCAAACCTCATTCCCAGGCATTAACTTCCATTTCTGTGGTTTTTGTTGTTTTGAGAGCTACTCTGACTTCATCTCTCTGCTGTTGAATGGAAACTGTCTTTTCTTGCATCAGAGTGATTGTATTGAATCATGGACTTAATTGCATAGTCTTGCCCTGCTGGTTTTGTTTGATAGTTGCTCCAAGCCTTCTCCACTGGAAGGTACGTCGATTCTTGGTCTGTCAGGAGCTGAGAAAGTTTCACCTTGTCCCTTGCCATGCTTGCATTTCACCCTACTTTCCTTAGGTGTTTCTATAATGTTTTCATTTTCTGTTTTAGTTTACATGACTCTGTTTCAAAATGGAATGCCCTCTCCTTCATGTTGATAACTGCCTGCCTTAACATTTCATTTTCATCTCCTTGGCTCAGGAAGTAATCTCTAGAAGGAAGTAACTCCTTACTTTTGTTTTTGATGAAGCACTCTTCTTCCTCCAATAAGTTTACTGAAACAAGTTGTTTCTCCTTCAGCTGATTCATTTCTGAAGTGGTTTGCTCCTGTGGTCCTCTCTCTAGTTCTGGGGCAGTAGCAATAGAGTCAGCTAGTTTCTGAATAGTTTGAAGGGTCACATGTTTTATCTGCATTGATATTCTTAACTCTTCCAAATCTGCCACAAATGTAACTGGACTCTCCCATTGCCCAGTTCTTTCAGAGTCTTCTTCTTTGTTAGCTGTGGTCCTTGTGTCTTTTATTTCTATGGTTTGCTGTGAAGCTTCATTTTGTGTTGAAGCTTCAATATATTCCAATTCCTCCTGAAGCTTGAACTTCCTTTTTGGGTAAAAATTCCTGTATCTTGCCAGCTTTTTCCGCTCTTCTAAGTTAGATAATACAACATCCTTGGTGTTCGGTGTTCCGCTTGTAGCCTTTCCATATTCTTTGTGAGTTCTGCTATATCAAGGTCTTTTTCTTAGTCGATTCTAATTAAACCTTCCTGCTCCTTCCACAAGGTAAAACTACCCAAGTCGCATTTACTGGACAATTCTTGAACGCTGTGTGCACTCATTTTCCTCACTTCCACAGCCTCTTTTTAGTCTTGGGCGGTTCTGCTTCCCCTTGTTCTGTTTTCGCCTTCTGAGTTCCATATAGTATTGGTTTTCTCCAAAGAACCCTGGTGGTGCCAAATAATCACCTTTTGCAATGCAAGTCTCACATCGCCATAGGATATAAACAACTTTTCCCATTTCATTTTTAAACGCAGTCTGCTTTGAATTTTTGAGTTGTTCCAGTTTTGAAACTGCTTTAGTTTTCTGTCTTCAGCTTCCCTTTCTTTTAGTATGTCACCATCCTTAAGGGGGTTCTTAGCGTCTTGATCAAGAGAGTAAGTCAAGTTATTGCTGCCTTGGCCAAGTTCTTCATTTTGTTTACTATGATCTTTATGGCCTCTTCTCTGTCTGCACTGGGCATGACCCCTGCCACCTGAACAGCAATGGCCACCTGCAAAACAGCCTGACTTGGATGCCTTTGAGTGTGAAGGTTAATAAAATAGCGCATACTCCTGGTTTTGTGCCTTTTTTAGTAAGTGCTATCCTACCTAAAACAGGGGCTGCACTGGTGGTATTTACAAGACCCTCACGAAGACTTAAAAAACTTCCCAGCACCCTTGGCGTGGCAGGGGGCTCTTTCCCGGGGGCCCTGGCACTGACAGCCAGCCCCACACCAGAGCCTGGCCGCTCTGAGCGCCTGCGTTGGGGTGTCCCACTGCGCGTCCTCTGTGCCTGCTCTGTCCACGTGTGTTTGAGGACCAGACGGGAAGTGCGTATAGGGTAGCGCAGGTCATCGATCAGCTCTGCCCGGCGGCCCTCCCGGGCGCCAGCCCCCCCACGGGCTCAGGTCCCCGCAGGCGGCCAGGGCGCTAGGCTGGGCCTGCGC